GATGAAGGGCCCTGGGCCTGGTTTAGTCTGTAGCACTTGGAATCGCTATAGGTATGTGGGTGGATCCTGCTCTACAGCCCCCTCTGAACAAAAATAAAAAGTAAGATGACTGTATCCCATGAGGAGGTATTAACAATCAAAAGGATAAAGAGGACATGAAAACCCAAAAGGACAGGGGGTAGCTGTAGATTACAGTGGGCCTCTTTCTCCAGATACTGGTCATCTGTATGTGGGCCCATGAAAAAAACAAATGATGTTTACTTCCTCTTCCCCTGGAGCAAGCATTAGACAAGGCTGGTACTTTATACTCTGTATACATTCCACTCTCCATACATAAAAAAGCAATCGACTGGTTCTTGTTCTGCTCATTCTTCAGACAAAACACTCTAAGACTTGGAAAGCTTAAACAATTTGCTCAGGGTTACTAATACTAAAATACAGAGCTGAAATTCAAAGCCAGGTCTAGCTGACTCCAAAGCCAAGAAACAGACGCTCATGGGATAACTTCCAAAATAAAAAGGTATCATGAAAGCCACTACAGAGAGGGCTGGTAAAATGGCATTAGGACAGTGAGCTTTGGAGGGTGAGGGACAAAACGGGACTCTGTAAATCCCAGATAGAGTAAACAGCCAAGTGCAAACAAAAGTGCTGACAAGAAGAAAGTGTTTGTTAACATCCATGATGAGAGGGGATCTTTTACAGAGAGAAATAATTAAAGAAACCAAAGGAAGAAAAAGATCAGGCAACAAAAATATAAAAACTCCAGATCCCCAAACAGCATACAAAATCAAAATAGCAACTATAAAAACATTTATAGAAGTTTATTTTTACACATAAAGAAATCACATGCTCCAATAAAAAAAAACAGAAAAGGGAAAGAACATGACAAATTATGTATGTATTAGATGTCTGTAGAGAAACCTTAAAATTGAAAGATCACTTTCATAATCCTGAGAACTACTTCTTAGTCATATCCTTGGCAACAAAGATAGCAGTATTTGATGTTGCTGGGTTTATGTTAGGAACAAAGGCACCTACACCGTCTGTCAGAAGGATATTAGCAAGTATTTCTAGAAAATAGTCTAGCAATATTTATTAGCCTAATAATTTTGACCCTAATTATCTATGTAAATTATAAGAAACTCAAAAGTAACTGTGAAAATCCCCTGGATACCCAACAGGAGACAGTTCAGTAAGGGCCCACAGGACAGAAAGCTGCTTGGTAGCTGGGGATACACAGCCCTCATCTCATATCTGTCTGAAGTTGGTGAGCATAAGTGGCCTCGCTCCTAAAAGCTACAAGGTAACTCTGAAGGTTGTTGGGTGAATATATACAAAGCTCTGGTACAGGCACTAGAAATGTTTTCAAAGAATATGATGAGCAGGAAAATAATCAGCACAGATTCAGTGCTTGAAAAGATCCAAGTTACATGTGTTATAAACACACGGTGCATATATGTACAATAAAATTAGCCAATGTCATTCCCTGCCTTGTACATTTTGTTATTCTCACTCATTCTAGAATGAGCACATACTACTGCTGTGCTCAGTAAAGAAGTCACAGCTGCAAGTACAGCTGCCACTCCTCACACCCAGAGTCATCTCCTCAGCAACAGCATCCACAGAAAATGCCTCCTGTATTTTCACAAAATGAGAAGACATAAAGCTCTCGCTTGTGCCACACAGAACTGTATTTCTAGATGACAGCTTGCGGGTTCATAGCAACTGCATGACCACTTCAGACTCGCTGTCGCTCTGTGGAGGCTTCAGCACAAACATCACAACAGCAACTGAAAAGGAAGCTCTATTTCCCAGCAGGGCAGTGGGGCCTTCCCAGCAACCAGCATCACAACAGACAGTGCTACATGGAGAAGAGACTCCACCTCTCAAATATCAACTAGGGAAATTATAATACAAACAAGGTACCTTGGATACAGCCTTTTCTAAGTTAAGTGGCAAATAAGCCAATTTTTGTTAAAGGAAGACATTTTACTATTAACTCAAAAGAAGGCTCCTAAATTAGAAAAAGAAAATTTGAAATCCTTTAACTTAAAAAACAGTAATACAGTAGAGGGTGGTGGTGCTGCCAGGCGCCTTTAATCCTAACACTTGGGAGGCAGAGGTAGGTGGCTCTCTGAGATTAAGGCCGGTCTGCTCTATACAGAGTACTGTGGAACAGTCTTTTCAAACACTATAAATATGCACTACTCTTACTGGCTAATAAAAAGCTGATTGGCCAGTAGCAGGGCAGGAAGAAACTGAGCTTGAGAACCAGACTAGGAGAATTCTGGGAGAAGAAGGCTGGAGTCAGAGAGCTGCCAACAAAATGTAGAGAAGCAAGATGAGAATGCCATCCTGAGAAAAGGCACCAAGCCACGGGGCTAAGCATAGATAAGAATTATGGGTTAATTTAAGTGTAAGAGTTAGCTAGTAACTAGCCTGATCTACCAGCCAAACATTTGTAAGTAATACTAAGTTTCTGAGTGGTTACTTGGGAACTGGCAGGCAGGAGAGAAACGTCCATTTACATGGAGAGTTCCAGAACAGCCAAGGTTACATAAAGAAACCCTGTCTCAAAAAAAAAAAAAAAAAGTATATACTTGTCACTGACTATTCTTCAAGACAGGGTTTCACAGACTGTCTTCACCATTATAAAACACCTTCACTGGGATAAGAGAAAATGGTTTGTATCCCCACAAAATATCTCCGAGTGAGGTGTTCCAATTTTACCTGCCTTTTGCATTCATAAATAACTTATCTAACCTTCCATATAATTATCAAATTATATAAATATAATAAAAATAGCTTGACAGTAATAATATCATAATTAACAAGACTAGCCACAAAAATCAACACTAAAAATAGGAATGGTATGGACGGAAAGAGTAAGAAAGCTATCCAAGCACCCAAGAGCCATAATCCAGTCTAACAGACACCATAAAGAACTATCCTAGCAGAGAGAATAGTTTAGTGCATATATATAAATTCATACAACAGCTATCACATACTAAGTGCCTATTAAAGGCAGGTGTTTTCTATTAGATATGTTCCTAAAAGCAGGTGTGCAGAGTACACTTACCATTCTACTTAAGAGAGTAGTGGCCTGAGACAATACAGTGGCCCTGCCCAAGGTTGAACTGCAGATCTACTTCACTTCAGCTTCTTGTGATCTGTATTGTCTTGTGTGTATGTGTGGGCATGTGAGTGTGTGCATGTATGCATAAATGTATGTGTGTGTGTGTGTGTGTGTGTGTGAGAGAGAGAGAGAGAGAGAGAGAGAGAGAGAGAACAAAACATGGTTTATGGTCTCACTATCTAGTCCTAGATGACCTAGAACTCACAGAGTGCTGCATGCCTCGGCCTTCCAGTGCTGGGATTAAAGGTGTGTGCTACCATACCCAGATACCATTGTTACCTTTAAAATCACATTAAAATTTTAAATTGACAGTGTTTTTATTGTGTCATGTTTTAAAATGGCTAAGAAAACAAAATAGCAACTGTAGCCTCTGCTCTACAAGATCTTCTGTGGGAACTGAGGTCCTCTGACACATCCAGATGGACCAAGAAGTCTTTTCCTACAATATTTACATGAATCAAAATCAAGTCAGTACCCAGGCTAGCAGTTCACATCTGTAATCCCAACACTTGAAAGGCTGGAAGAGGAGAACTGCCATGAGTTCAAGGCCTCCAAGTCAATTCCAGGCCAACTGAGACTATTGTGTGAGGCATTATTTCAAATCACTCACTCACACACACATTCACAAACACACACACACACTCACAAACACATTCACAAACACACTCACACACGAGTGCAAAACTTATAATAAGTATGAGAACTGTTTCTTAACGAAGTAAAGGAAAATACCCAACTAAAGCTAGCAATGTTAAGTAAAAGCTAATTTCTGACTTCACAGAGGTCTTCCACAGTTAAACTGGTTAATTTTTTTTGTCAACATGACATAAACCTACAAATATGTATAAAGAGGGAATATTAATTAAGAAAATTTCTCCATAAAATTGGCCTATAGGCAGGTCTGTGACGAATTATCTTCACTAGTGATTGATGTGGGTCGACCCAGCCCAATGGACACAGTGACTCCCCTAGGCAGGTGCTCCTGGAATGTGTAAGGAAGCAGGCTGAGCACCTCCTGAGAAGCAAGACTGTAAGCAGATTTCCTCCATAGTCTGTCTCTACATTAGCTCCTGCCTCTAGGCTCCTGTCCTGACTTCCCTCAGTGATGGACTCTGATGTGGAAGGGTAATCTGAATTAAACCCTTTCCTCCCCAAGTTGCTCTTGGTCACGTTTATCACAGCCATAGAAACCCTAACAGGACAATGGTTTACTGGAAGAAGTTATAAATTGTAGAAAAAAACTAAGAAAAACAGTGCAGTTAAAAATTCAAGCATTATTCTTTTCCTCGGGCTGCCAGGAAAATGGTAGACATTCAGACCGAATGTGCTCACCAAAAGCAGAGCACAATCTTTCAAAACAAGAAGGGGCTCTGCTGTGAGAAAAGCTCCCTCAGTACTACAAAAACATCGGCCTAGGCTTCAAGACACCCAAGGAGGCCATCGAGGGCACCTACATAGACACGAAATGCCCCTCCACTGGTAACGTCTCTATCCGAGGTTAGCTCCTGTCTGGTGTCTTGACGGAGATGAAGATGCAGAGGACCACTGTCATCTGCTGGGACTATCTCCATCACATCTGAAAGTACAATCACTTTGAGAAGCGCCACACGAACATGTCTGTGCATCTGTCCCCCTGTTCCAGGGATGTACAGATTGGTGACATTGTCACCTTGAGAGAATGCAGGCCCCTGACCAAGACTGTGCATTTAAATGTGCTCACGGTCACTAAGGCTGCTGGCGCCAAGAAGCAGTTTCAGAAGTTCTGAGAAGACCAGAGTCAACTCCCTAGAACAAATAAAGTTATTTTCCAGCTTAAAAAAAAGTAAAGCATTAGTCATGATTGTATTAAGTAATATATACTAACCATGGATCAAGGAACCATTTAGCCACTGAATGTAGTAGTTTTGAGGAAAAGCAAGCAGGATTTCATTGCTGATGATTGAGAAGGGTAAAAGCAAAACAGCTCCAGCTGAAACCGCTAGAGTGAAGGTGCTCAGAAACAACCTGCAAGAGAGAAGAGGTATCATCACTGGGGGTCTGGAAGGCCGTGCACAGGAAAGCAACAGCCAGCATATTACATAAGAATCCCATTACAGATATGCAACTGAGGGACAAACAGCATGCACAGGATCTGGAAAGTGCAACCTGGTGGAATCCATAACAAGCTCTATGTATGTACGTATGTATGATATATTGGTGAGAGTGCTGTATAGTTCTAAGAAATTATTATTGTGTGTGGGTGTATGAGAGAGAGAGACACTGGGGTGGGGAGGGTGAAATGGCATGGATGTAAGATCAAGGACAACTATGTGGAGTCTGTTTTCTCCTTCTCCCTTTACACAGATTCCAAAACTGAACTCAGGTATCCAGGCCCTCAGAGCAAGTACCTTGACACACAGCCATCTCACCAGCCCCAATATCTCATTAAGCAAGGTTAAATTATAGTAGTAAATAGCAGAAAAGTGATAAATAATACTAATCAATATTTCAAACACTACTTCAATACTTTTTTGTGACTAAAGCACTTTATTAAGTGTGCGATTTGCAAATAGTTTCATAAGAAATTTTAAAAGCAAAGTTATAAACATTTCCAATAAAAAAGTACAGAGGTGACAGCAAAAATCACATTTTTATAGTACAATAAAAACAGTTGCTTCTAATATACTGTCTGAGCAGTTCATAGTTTATTCTTCAACTGCTAGCTGCAATGTGGCACGTTAATGAGACGTCTGGGGTAAACTCAACAATGACAACAGGTTCATCACAGAAACTGACTGCTTGACTGTGAGGACACAATAAAGAAACCTCGTCATCACCTAACTGAGGTCATGAGGTGTTAGGACACAGATGTTCTAGCCTTGCTTCTCTATTCCCTTCTGGAAAGAGGCATCAAGTAACAATACTGTAAACTTAAATTATACCTTAAAAACAAGCACCATTAACATACATTCTACATCAACTTACTTTTCCTTTTAAATGGCACTTGATTTTGGCCATACAGACATTTAAATCTGTCTTCTTTACAGGTAATTAAGAACAAGCAATTTAGCCCGGCACAGAGCATTATCAAATGTCACCTCATTCACAACAGAAAAGCACATGGAAAAAAACAGCACTCATTATTTTTGTCCATTTCATATACTTTCTTGAGAGCAGTTAAGACATTGTCAGAGAAATTTCTTGAATTTCAAAAGTTTCCAATTTCCAGTTCAGAAATAACTTTGTCATTACACATGTCCTTCGAAAGTCAACAGACCAATTGAATTGAAAGAGAAAACTCCAAAAACAAAGGACAGAAAATCACCCAGAGGTACTGGAAGCTTTTCTTTTCTATATATGTTAGAATATAAATTATATCAACCCCAGTTTCCACTCTATAATATGGATGATCCTGAAAAAAACTAATAAACAAAAGAAAACCTCAACTCGTAAATAATAGTAATATATGAACAGCTAATGAATGTCAGAAAACATGCTCAAATTGCCTCACAGGAACCAGGAAACAGACTGCAAATGGTCACGAGGGCCCTGGCTCCGCTGTACTCTCTCCGTGGTGTCCCCTATCGATTCTCTTCCCTGGGCTGAATCCAATGACAGACTATTAGCTGTATATTACTGCTACTAAGATCTTCCTTCCTTTTCTTTGAAGAAACGCTATACTTTTAAAATGCTTTAAAATACTAGGTTCACAGAGTTCTAACCTGAGTCACTTCTAAACCATCTTCACCTCTGAGATATAAAATTTAGAAATGGGAAGAAGAAAATAATCTGATAATCCCCAAAGTCTCTCTACCTTTGGCTGGGATGTGAGGTTTATACAACTTCAATATGTAAAAAAAGGGTCTAAAATAAATAAACTCAACAAAACAAACTGAAGAAAAACATTGACAATAAATACAAAGTAGGCTCTCTATTCGCACCAAGAAATGTTTACATATCATCAGGAAATGTGTTGTTCCAAAACCCATCATCATTTATACAACCCACAGAACAGAGTGCAATCAGGAGGGGCTTTTACTTCCCAGTTACACGTTTCTGAAAAGCTTTATATTTTTTTAAAACAAACACCTATTTTGTAAAGGATTTTAAAAATGAATAAATAGCAAGACAGAGGAAGGTGGATTTCTGTGAGTTCAAGCCAAGCTAGTCTACATAGAGAGTTCCAGGCCAGCCAAGGCAACATAGTGAGACCCTGTCTCAGAAAATAAAGGGTAGGGGGAGAGAAGGAGAAAAAGGAGGAAAAAGGAAGGGGGAAGGGAGGGGAGGGAAAAAGGAGAGGAGGGAAAGGGCAGAAATAGGTAGGTAGATAGTAGATAGATAGATAGATAGATAGATAGATAGATAGGCAGCAGACACAGCAGCAATAATGGCAAAGGAAACTTAATAAGCATTAAAGATAGAACATGAGTATCCATAACACTGAAATTAATACTCAAAGAATGTGAAAATAAATGTAAGAAAAAATTTTTAAAGTCATAGTCATAAGGTCAGGTAGTGGTGGCACATGCCTTTAATCCTAGAGCTTGGGAGGCAGAGGCAGACAGATCTCTAAGTTCCAGAACAGCCAGGACTACACAGAGAAACCCTGTCTTGAAAACAACAAACAACAGTCTTAGTAAATGTTTCACCACAAATTTAATCAAGTAACCTTGCACTCGATGCCATCCTGTGGCAAACAACAGAAACACATGCCTACAAAGCCACAAGTACCCTCAAAACCCCTGGGTGGTTTGGTAAATCAAAGGCCAATGACTATTTAATGTAGTTAGTGGAAAACTCCAAAAAAAAAAAAAAAAATGTCAACTCAGACTCAGGAGCACCATGAATTGATCCAAAGAATGAAGAGCACGAGTCCTGGAAAAGTATTCAGAAAAACTGCTCACCTGGAGTGGACGGCCAGTTCCGGTCCAGAGAGGACCATCACCCTAATTGACATCATTCCTGCCAACGTCAAAATCAAGGTTGAATGTAATACTCACCATCTCAGGGCCTGCACAGCTCTCCCAATACCCTGGGTTACCCAGCAGGACACATTTCATCTTACACTTAATCCCCAACCTGTTTCCTAACCCTCAATGGATTGTGTTTCCAGGCCTCTGCCTACAAGTTGCTCTGCTCTCTTTCTCTAGAATATCCCTACAACACTCCACATGGAAGATTGCCTGAATAGCAGGACAGACCTCAAATACCACTTGTTTGTGTCCCTTAATTCCTACCTTCTTGTTCCTCTCAATAAAATCATCCCCTCTTTCCTCTTATCTCCCATAACACTCTCACCACACATCAGGCCAACATAACTTCCAAATCCAATACTAGAACCCATGACCTGACAAAAGGAGTTCACTTATGAGACAAAGAGATAAATCAGGAGGTTACAAATGGCCCAGAAAGTCCATTGTATATGTCACCATTATTATAATGCTGCTTTTCAACAGCTATGGAGCCTCCATTCCATGCGTTGTTACTGTGACAGACCTGCCCAGAAAACAGAGAACCACTTTTGCTGCCTACAAAGAGCCACTTGCAAAAGGTTCCTGTAGAGTTAATACTGACAAGGGGTCCTTAAAATAAGGCCCTGAACTAGAAAACTATAGTAGAGACATTGTGCAATCATTAAACACACCTTTCAGAAATGTCACCTTCTAAATGGAATAGTAAAATAATAATAATAATAATAATAATAATAATAATAATAATAATAATAATCCTACATCCAGAATATTGCACCTTCTGTGATTATGGTAGTAGTAAAACACAAATATTTTTCTTGAATATCTGCCATTTGTGACTATTCTCCATAATCAGGAAAGTGTGTGAACCTCTTGGATGCTAAATGTTACCAGTGGCTCAGAAAGCCATCATTGACAGGTCACAGTACATTACTTCAATAAGCCTGCCACACACACTTCCAGGACGTTGAATGTTGGATCCTGAATATTTCAAGTGGGTAAGTACTTCCTTTTTTGAAATTCTACAACTTACTCAGCAATCCCTCCTTTCTTTCTACACACTCTGTGAAATGTACCAACATGTCAACCTAAATGTTTTGGTTTGAGTCTGAAATGCCCCCACAGGCTAACATTTTGAGGATGCATTCCACAATTTGTGACACCATTTAAAAACTGCTGTAGCTCCATGAAATGGGGCCTGGCTGGCAAAAATAATGGGTCACTAGGTTTCACCCACCTCTGGTTCCAGCCTACATGCTTGCTCTATTTTCTGGTCCATCTGCAGGTAACGAAACGCTGACATACACTGCCAACACTGTGGACTGTGAACTACACAAAAATAACCCTTCCCTCCTTCATTAGCTTCAGCCTGATGTTTCATCACAGTGATGAGAAAAGTAACTGTCCCAGCCTTTATCTGGCTAATCAATAGAGGCATGCTTCGTGAATTCAGCCCCCAAGTGCTCACTCTGACCAGTGCTTCTTAACCAGTGGAAACATCAGAATGGATTACCATCAAGATCACCCACAAGCAACACTTGAAAGGGCTTCTGCCAATGCACACACCACAGACTGACCCAGGAATCTCTTGGTGAGACTCACTCACCAAACAACCTTGATTCCGAGCCAGCACTGTACCTGGCATGTTAACACAGTAAACAAGACATGTTTTGCTTTCACAGGGCTTCTAAGCAAAGCTATCACTTAAGGCTATGAGCGCATCAGACAATAAACAACAAAACATTAAATGGGTGACTGCATAAGGTATTAAAGGTGATAGGCACTACAGAAAATAAATCAAGAAAGGAGAACTGAAGTGGCAATGATAAAACAAGTCAGACTCTGAACACAAAACCAACATGGCCCCTGACAAGAAACAGGAGAGGAGTCAAAGGCAACCGAGAGGCCAGGGGCCTAAACCAGAAGTCTGGTGTCTTGTGATGTGCAAAAGGCAGGCTGAACAGAGAGATGATAAAATCAGTCTTAGACACATGTAGTTTGATATTCACGAGACAAGACTATCACAAGCTGCTGCTTTGTGATTTTTCTCGGCTGACCACAGGTGACTTGGAATTGCTATCTCTCTGCTGACCCCATCTCCTTGGTCCCAGGTCAAGGAAGTGACTACCAGGCTGGTTCACTCTAAGATATTCTTCCTTTCAATTAGGATTTTGTGGAAAGGTAAGTTTGAAACTACAAAAGAAACCTGTTCTTGTCAAATTTCCAAACTATTCATCTACTGGTTTCTATCAGAATGGATTCAAGCTATCCAACTAAATGCAGTAGCTTCAAATCCATTACAATAATTACTTATTTTGATATTTAAATTGTCCCCAATTTTGTGTGAGGACCCTTAAGGGATTGTTTCCTTTAAAATATCCCAATAATTCTTACATTCTTATATTCTGTACAAGAAAAATCCAAAATTAACCTGGGCCTTTCCCTATCCAGCTCTTCAATTATCTCTCCTTAAGGAGTCCTGGTTCTACTTAGTGGAAAATTCTATTTAAATATGGCCTGCCGAATCCCTATGGCTGGGAGATATCCTCGGAAGACAGACAAGCTGAGGCATATAGTATGCAATCTGCATGTACAAACACATGGCCATAATCACTTTGATGAGAGATATGATTCTGTAAATATGTTTCTCATATTGGTTAATGAATAAAGCACTGTTGGCCAATAGGAAAGCAAGATAGGTGGGACTAGGAGACCAGGAGAAGAGAGGAAGAAGTAGTGAAGAGTCAGCATGTAGAGAGTGGCGAGAACAGAGGTCTGGGCCCTCTCTCCGGTAAGATGAGACCACGTAGAAACACGTAGATTAATAGAAATGGGTTAACATTTAAGACAGAGCTAGCCAATAAGAAATTAGAAACAGGCCATCAGCTTTATATCTAATACAGGGTCTCTGTGTGTTATTTGGGGCTGGCGTGGCGGTGGGGCCAGAGCAGCAGGAAAAAACTACTCATAACACATTTATACTGAAATTCTACTACTCGCAGGTGTTGAAACTATGTGTTCTGAGTGACACAATCCCAACTCCAAACCAACAACTCAGTGGTCACTGTTGTTCTCTCCTTTTCCCCTAATTTTTGGTTCCTACTGACTTTAATCAAACCTCCCCACTGTACAAGGAACCAATTTCCTACCATACTGATTCTAATTCTATACAGATACAGACCTTCCTGTCTGGGTAGCTCCCATTCTGGGCTGAATGGCCTTGACACTCAAGACACCTCCTTCCCCAGCTCAGCTCCAACACACCCCTGGAAGGCTTCCTTTGGCATGGACACCCTCTTAATCTATGGTGACATTGACACTCTCATGGAGACCTTGCCACCCTTTGGGTTCCCTGAAACTGAGTTAGGGATGGTTGTGAGTCACCATGTGGTAGGAACCAAACCCAGGTCCTCTACAAGGGCAGCCAGTGCTCTTAACCACTAAGTCACTTCTTCAGCCCCAGAATTCACGTTTTAATAGGCAAAATCTAATAGAAAGAACGTGTTTGCCATTCAGTTTAAAAATGAAAGTACATTTCTATCATATCTCCTCCACACATATAAGGAACCTAGAACGCAATCAGGCCCCTCTGTGCTCTCTCCAGTCAAATGTGTCACTCTGACCAGAAAAACTACATGCTGCTTTGCTTCAGAGAGTCTGCTCAGGACACAAAGCAAATGGCTGACAGCTTGACTGTTTTCCCTTTTACTCGGGGTCTTGCTGTGTGGTCTAGGCTGTCCTCAAACTCTCTACCTCTACCACTAGAGTACTGAGACCACAAGCCTGTGCCCGCTACACCAAACTAGGTCTTTCTTAAACAACACTTCCACCTTCAAGCTCCTTTCTTCATTAAAGGATAAAATCAAACTATTTTGTTTGTTTGTTTCTCAAGACAGGATTTCTCTGTGTAGCTTTGGAGCCTCTCCTGGCATTTGCTCTTGTAGACAAGGCTGGCCTGGAACTCACAGAGACACAACCTGCTTCTGCCTCCCAAGTGCTAGGATTAAAAGTGTGTGCCACCATTGCTGGCTAAAATCTGCCATTTCTTTAAATAAGCACTTAGCAGGGGAAAGGAATGTGGTCTCATGTAACCTAGGCTGGCCTTACTACATATCTGAGGCTAGCCTTGAACTTCTTCCTGATCGAGGCACCTCACCCTTACTATTATTAGGATTACAGGCATGTGCCACACTCAGAGACAATCAGTTAGTTATAAAGTAACCATGTGTATTTGCTTACATGTGCTTTTTAAGAATATGATTAATAAGAATTAGTACTTTAGGCAATTATTTCCTTCAGACTCTAACTTCAAAAACTATAAACAACAAAATTAGAATACTGTGGTGGTTTGAAAGAAAACAGCCCCCAACAAGAGTGGCACTATTAGAAGGTATGGTCTTATTAGAGAAGGTGTGTCACTACGGGGGTGTACTTTGAGGTCACTCAATGTGACAGTCAGTAGACTTCCTGCTGCCTCTGAATCAAGTTGTAGCACTCTGGGCTCCAGCAGCACATCTGCCTGCAGGCTACCATGCTCTCTCCATCCCGATGATAATCTACTGAACCTCTGAAACTGTAAGCAAGTCCCCTCAATTAAATGTTTTTATTTATAAGAGTTGTCATGATCATGGTGTCTCCTCACAACAATAGTAAACCTAACTAAGACAAATACATACGATATCCTGTTGACTACAGCATCCTCATCTTCTTGTTCATCTGCAAAAAAAAAAAAAAAAGTTTATAGTGTTACTATTTTATCTACAACAAAATGTTTCATGATTTTTTTCCTAAAAAGTACGAAAAAATTTAAAGTTTTAAAAATTCAATTACTGAATGAAAGACTTTCAACTTCAACTTTAAACTTTAAACTTCAACAAGGACCCAAATATAAATGTCATTATAGCGTGAGTTGTGATTTAAACAAAAAAAAAAAAAAAAAAAAAAAAAAAGCTGAATAACTAACTGACACATGTAAATTAAAGTTTTACAAACACAGTCACAAAAAAACAAAACTTCGGACCACAGGATGTTTGTGAAAAGCAGGTAGACAATGACAGTTTGTGTTGCTTGTGAATGAAATGGTCTGGTTGTTAAAAGACAACAGACATTTCTATTCTAAAATGCCATACTCTTAGAACTTCCCTGCTTTTCTTTAATTTGAATTTTCATTAGTAAATTAAATGCTAATATTTTCTTAAGCCATTCTAAACTACCTTGTATAGCATCACCTCAACAATTAGAAAGCATTGTCCAAGTTACAAACAGAAAAAATACCATTTTCAGCCAGGCATTGGTGGCACACACCTTTAATCCCAGCACTCGGAAGGCAGAGTTCAAGGCCAGCCTAGTCTACAGAGCTAGTTCCAGGACAGATTCCAAAGCAATACAGTAAAACCCTGTCTCAAACACACACACACACACACACACACACACACACACACACACACACACACACACACACACTTTCTGTATCTCTTTAAGTACCTAGCACACTTCATTAGGCTATCTCCTCCCGCTCCTCTTCCTCTCTCAGGCCTCTCAGCCACCATCTCTTTTGTCCTTGCTCATAAACTTAAAATGCAAAGAGACTGCCTAAGTACACAAACATTGCAAAACCCTCGCAGTCCTTCCAGGTCCTCATTAATCTCATGTCCTGCAAGGCTCTCCTTGGGTCTCTGATCCTCTGCTAGCCTACTTGCCTCAGTGTCAGTGGTGAGTTTTAGCCATTCTTTGTAGTGTCTACCATGAATTACAAACTGTCCAAAATAACTTTAAAGTCAAGGCACCACAAAATCTCACTCACAATTTTCATCCTGATGCTCCCCCACCTAATCTATCACCTAATCTGAAGGAAATTTTCACTACCTCTTTATCCACATCCATTCTATTTTTCTATTCCACCAGTGAGGTCTATGGTCTTTCTCATTCCCTGAAACTACTGGGTTAACCTGAAGATCTGAGTCTACAGTTTTCCTGTGCATCGCCCTTAAACAATGCATTTATGCTTTTCACTCAAACCCTCTCCTTTCTCCTGTGTGTAATCTATGAAACCATGTGACCAAGTACCTTTAAAATAACTGAGGCACTGTCTTGAATATGCAGTTCTTCACATTTCTGGCAGATTACATGATTCAAGGAGCACTTGTTAACAGTCATAGAGATGACAGATCTAAAACAACATACTGCAACAAGAGCTGTTCCTTTATTTCTCTCTAGTTTGATGAATTTTAAGCTGATAATATTATATCAAGGAATCTTTAATACATGTAACCTTTAAGTATCATAAAGCATTGACCATCAGCCCAGCACCACAAGTAGAAAATATCATGATTTTTTAAAAAACTGAGAATTCACAGAAGGCAGTAAGTCATCTGCTAGAGTACATATAAAACTAACTTTAAAATATGTGGATTGATCAGTCCATTAAAAAAAATAATAGAGACATGAAAAACCCTCTGATTAACTCAGAACAAAACGAAATAATACAAGGATACTATATAAATAAATACTGGTACAATTATGGCTACTCTAAATTCTGCAATGCTTTGGAGAAGGAAAACAGTGGCTGGAGAGATGACTCAGCAGTTAAGAGCACTTGCTGGTCTTGCAGAAGACCCAGGTTTGATTCTCAGCAATTATATGGAGGTTCAAAGCCATTTGTAACTCTAGTTTCTGGGGATCCAACACCTTCTTCTGGCCTCTGCAAACACTAGGCATGAATACAGTGAACAAATAAATATACAGGCAAAACACCCATAGCACATAATATGAAAATAAGTAAATAAACAAACACATCTCTTTTCAACAGGAGAGAGACAGAAAGACAGAAATGATGAGACAGTTCTGTAGTGAGAAAATGAAAGGGGGTGTGGTGAATAGGATGCTCAGTTAGAACCAGCCACAAGGAACCAAACACCCTCATAAACCTGCATTTCCCAGGTACTAAATAACCAATGCTATTCTTAGCCGGACATGAAAATTGTGATAAGCAAGGACTCTGGTCTAGTAAGGTGACCCTGAGCATAATCAGGTTCCCTTGGGGTTATTTTTAGTGTTCCTAGTACCAGGCAACTGTTTGCTCCGGCCACCAGCATATTCAGCATGGCTGCACTGGTGTGGAGGGGAAGCCCATAATGTGGAGGGGAAGGCCAGATCCCACCCACACACCCAGCTCTGATGAAAGCTCTAACAAAACTGTTTCTACTTGCCTGATTTTCTCTTGTATCTTGTAATGATGAAGTAGGAAACAACGTAGAGAATGGCAAAAAGAAGAAAACATATCTGAAATGAAAATTAAAAGGTCATTTATATTTTTGTCTGTCATTTTTATAACTAACAAAAGATACAATCTTCAGTATCTAAATAAACTGAAAGCTCTAACCTATTAGAAAGCGAAACTTCAACATCTTACAAATGTAACAATTTGATTTAAAAAAATATTAATGCATGGGAGTTAGTCAATTCTAAGGATCTGCAGTATTCTAGTTTAATACTATTTTGCTGAGATTTGCTCCTTTCATAACTTGATTAAATGTTTTTCAAAGTTATGTGAAAGTGTACAGAGTCAAACCATTATCAACAATTCCGAAAACTGAAATCAATGAGCACATAATTACCCTCCGGAAAAGCAAATCATGCTAAGAGCTTCAGTAATATGTAGAGGATGTGCTGGTAATACAACCTGACTGAGTCAATCAGATGAAGCTTTAGCATAAAGGAAGCATCACAGATCAATTTGGATAAAAATAACTTCAAAAAATATACCACATGTCAAAATTAAAATTCTTTATTCAACTGTAGTTTAAGTCTTAAAGATAAATTGCATTTACTTTGTCTAATAAAAACTGCAGTATTACTGTGTATGTTCTGAGGTTCTGCTACCCATGCACAGCAGTGCCCTCCCGCACTATGCAATTAATGGAGGGAGGAGCTTACCACCTTTACCGATTAGAACTTACAATATACTCTCGGGTTTTTAACATCCACACAGTGCACCGTTCTTCACATCACTATGCCACACAGCAAGCCTACTAAACTCACCCTCTTATGGCCACACCTCAACCTGGCAGCTCCCTTTCTGGTCCCTGAACTGTTATTCTACCCTCTATCTCTACAAGCTCAAATTGTTTAGCTACCATGTACAAATTAGATTATTCAGTGCCTGTTTTTCTACATATGCAGACTTCACTGGGCAGAATATTCCCAGATTATCCCAAGCAGCACAATTTCCTTAAGGCTACATCGTACATGTCAGGATTACACTCTCTTTATCCTACTGACACACATCAGTTTTATCTCTGTAACCCTGTGGTAGTGGAAATCAGGCTCCTTGACCCAGTGCAGATGAAGTGGAGTTTATTTGGGGAAAACAACTTACACAGGAAACAAGTGACTGTCGCAGGCCCTGCCACCCAGATGCTCTCTGTAACCCAAAGGGGCTTCAGAGCCCCAATACTTTTTTCTTTTAACCGGTCACACCAGCACCTGTGACCACGCCCAAAGGGGCGTGTTCAGTGCAGGAAGTGTGGAGCAGTGAATATGTCACTGCATAACCTGACATGGTGAGCCCTGAGCACATTGTCTCTCGTAACCCAATTCATTTCCTTTGACTGTGAAATCAGAATCGAATAGGCAGACCACTTGGCCTATTTGCTTTGCATTCTGGAGGGTATGGCAGGCTCTTTTGATGTCTGTTACACAGGTTCCTTTTTTCCATGTCCTCAACAGCACTTCTGTCTTGCTGTTTAGAAGCAGCCATTCCAAAAGGCATGAGGTGATTCTTCCTTTCCATTTCTCTATGACAAAGGGTGCTAAGTACATTTTTATTACACCTGTTGTACATTTGTATGTCTTCTTTTTAAGAACTGTCCACTTGGACCTTTTGCCCATTTTTATTTGGGTCATTATGTTTACAATGCGCTCTTCTTGTCAGAGCTGGGGCAACAAATGGGTAACCAGGGAAGGTCCATCAAAGATTAAACACTAAAAATAAAGCCTCAGTCGTGCTTATGGAGCATGTGGGAAAACATGAAGACTTTCAGAGTGTTGACATCTAGGGAGCATCCTGAGCACGAACCTGTCAGGATGAGTAGGGGGAATATAACAAAGACTTGGCACTCAGAAAACACTCACAATGGAGAGGGGCACTATGAACTGAGTGTCAATATTCTCAATACATGTGGGAGAGTGGTGAAAGACAATCCTAACACCTGTTCTGGAAGCCTGAAGACTGATAGAAACACGGGCTAACAAGAGGATGCTATCTGAGTTACAACCTACTCCTGAAGCCCTCTGAAGCACAGAAAATGGGTCAAAAGGGAAGCCAAACAGTGAAGAAGCATAAAGAAACAGTGGTATACAATGCCATGGAAGTCAAGCTCCAAGAGCAAGGAAAGAGGAGTGACTTGGCAGTAAAACAATAAATCATAAGGTTAAAGTCCCATGTCAGGTAGCTGACAGAGGCTTCCTGAGTTGATTTGTGGGGCATACTACATCCAGGAACCCATTCTAACACTAGGGACACTAGTGAGCAAAGGTGCACCCTTGTGATACTCATATTCCAGAAAGAGAAATAACAACACAAATAGACATCAGATAGCTAAATTACAGTATGTTTGAGGATGGTTAGTCTGGCCTAGGAAAATAGAGAGTACCATTAACAATGGAAGCTCATCTCACCAGGATGTCATCTGAGAAAGAATGATGGGACAAGAGGAACAAGACTAGCAGTGTGTGACACAGAGAATAATGTCAGCAGCCTGAGGCAAGACGGCTCGGTTGTGTCCAAACAAAGGGGAAGAATAAGAGATGAGCTTAGGGATTAATAGGAGTCCAGAACACAGAGGACTTTGTTCCAGGTGCTGGTACTTACACATGGTAACTGACAGGTTGATTCTGACCCTGAGGGAGACAGGAATCCATGTGAGATGGTGAACAGAGGGGTGCCATGATCAGATTCAGTGATGAAACTCACCCCAGTCGCCAAGACAGAAGGAGAGACCAGAAAAGAACTGAGCACAAAACGATGCAGAAGAGACATCACTCAGACCTGTAGAGTGAGGCATTAAGAAATGATTGAGTTGTGAGTGTCCTGAAAACAGGCCTGCTAGGACTCGTGAAAAATAAACACAACGCTCTAGTCCTGAGAAACTGGAAAGACTGAGTTGCCAAGTCCTGAGTCAGGGAAGATTACAAAAGGAATGGTCTGGAGAAAGGACAGGCTCTGCTGAAGGTAAAAAGCTGAGTGAGTAGGTCTGTATATAAATCTATACTGTTAAGAGGGAAAGGCCAGGTTACAAGTTAAAACATAGAAACTAATCAGCAGATGCCACACAATGTCCTAAGGCTGAGATGCAAAAGCAGGCAGAGAAGTCTGAAAACCAAACGCAACTCTCAGATGTTCGGCATCAGTTTGGAGGCTACCAGAACAGCAGTTAGAAAGGGTGGAGCACTAAGGGCCTGCACAGCTGAGCCACAGGAAGGAAAGGGAATTTACAACAGTGTCAAATACTGCTGACAGGTCAAGCAAGGTGAGGACAGAGAACTGACAACTGGGTTTGCTGCCACGAAAGTCACTTCAACCTTGACGAGTTGTTTTTCTGAAGTAATGGGGACAAAAGTCTGGCTAAAGTAGATTCCAGGAAGAGCTGGAAAAGAGAAATGCAGGCAAAAAGAAAGGCTCTAGAAGTCTTCCCTAGTGCCACAACAAAACAAAGGAATTGTGAAGAGGCACTCAAAGTCAGGAGGCTTTTTTAAAAGATGAGAAAAGTTACAAAAGACAGAATAATCCAGCAGCCCGGGGGGGGGGGGGGGGAAATGGGATAATGCTGTAAGAACTGCAAAGCTAACGGACTGACAGAAAATCTTTCTAAATAAGGGGATGGGAAATGAGGGGGAGAAAAGGAGGAGGACCGTAGTAATGGCAGAGGTGCAGTTGACAACTGGGTTAGGCACCATGTAAGCTACTGCAGCTTTGACAAGAGTTGTAGAGGAGACAAAAGCCTGGCTGATGTAGATCCCAGGAAGAGCTGGAAAGAGAGAGGGAGGCCTGAGAGGGCGGGAAGGAGGAGGAAGAGGGCAGTTCCACTAATCTCTGCCCTCACCCCCTGTTCTCCCCTTGATTTGAGCTCAAAGGGACCCAGGAAGTGGAAGGGATGGCCCAAGAGCCAAACTGCAGGTCCTAACGTTCCTTGGACTCTGTCAGGACTGTCCTTCCTTCTCTGATGGCTTCCCTTTTCCTCAGCCTTTACCAGCTATGCTCCTCTGACTCCTGGGTTGAGCACACTTCCGGTTCCGTTACACAAGTTCTTCACCTGCTGTATCATTTTCCCAGGTCTAACCTCCAACCCCAAGAAGCCCTTGACCATTATGAAAATGCAAAACAAACTAACATGCAAGAAGACTGGAAGACAGGGAAACTAAGGACAGGCTGAGGACCAGGTGAGCAGGAGCCAGAGCAGATATTTGGCTGCAGTAAAGAACCAAGGACAGTAGGAAAATAGATATTTTGGTGGAAGAAGAACCTGAAATACCACAAGAGCCAAAGGATTGGGGAGGATCAGAGAAAAACTGATTTTTGCACATGACAGGCTCACTGCATTCATGAACTCAAAGCACTTTTGGTTGCCTGAATAAGATCTGTGTAAGATCAAGTCAGTCAACTTGATTCCAGCATAGAGTGGGAGGAACTCACAACTTCTACCCTTAGCTGAAGGGCTACAGAGTGATAGGGGATGTCCTTCTGTATACTGTGAATATATGTTTCTCTTATTGGCTGATGAATAAAGCTGATTCAGCCAATGGACAGGCAGGACATAGCCAGGCTGAAATCCAAACAGGGACAGAGAAAGGGAATAGGTAGCGACCGAGAGACGCAATGTAGCTGCCAGGAAAGTAGGATGCTCAGGCATTCTCCATTAAGCCAAGGCCATGTGGAGATACACAAATTAATAGAAATGGGTTAATAATTAAGAGAGACCTAGCCAATAAGAAGCCTGAGCAATAGGCCAAACAGCTTATATTTATATTAATTATATAATTATATTAATTATATTAATATAAGCCTCTGTGTGTTTATTTGGTACTAAACAGCTGAGGGATCGGGCATGGCAGAAATTTCCATCCACAAGAGTTAAAGGCTTCTGAGGGAGGGCCAGTCAGTTTTCTTTGAGGGTATGCTCCTGGTAGGTCTGTCAACCACACTCCAGTAAATGGTCCATACTCAGATGTATATGGAAAGCACAAACCAGGCTTGATGCGAGGGGGAGGAAAAAGAGGGGAAG